ATTCCCTAAGGAGCACGTCAAAGGGCAAGAAAACGCTCCCCTGGGGAGACTGGCTTAGTTCAAAACGCAGAAAATAAGACTGGAGTGCTGCTCACTTTTTGGATCAACAGAAGCAAAGATTCACCCTGGGAGCCATAGTTTGCTGGTCATACTGTGGTCTGGCTATAGAGAACTAAAATCTGGACATTGTCCTGAGGCTTAAACTCCTGTGATGATTCAAATCATGTGTAACCAAAGGGATTTGAGGTTTTTTTGCAGAATACTAGAACAATGGTATTGCTAAACACAGCATGTAAGGGTTCAGCTTTGAATACCTGGTTGGAAGCCAGAAGCTTCCATCTGATAATGATGGACCTTGGCTTCTGAAGCCCCAGGCAGTTTGCTTACTTTGTCCTCCCACCATTTTCAGTGTAAAGGATGGAATACCTCTGGGAGACACTTTGAGGCATAGTTAATGAACAGAGCATAGGGGTTAGCCAGCTGCTGTCTGGCATTAAGCTCTAGCCTTGGATCTACAAACTTCACTTCTCATGCTAATTTCATCAGTTAAAGTAAATTCAAAATCCTTTAACTTCTGTGCTTTTTCTGTAACAAACTCCTGCCTCTTGGGTGCAATGTAAGCACTAACTTGTAAAACACAGCGAAGGTGGAAATACTTGCTTTGTGGGGTAGAAGGCTTCATTTGGCCTGTCTGTATTACTCTCCTAATCATTAGTGTAGTATCATGATGCTTTTGTATTAACTGGCTTATTTTTAAATTTGTTAAAGTCTTTTTTTTTTTTCTAATACCATTAAAACCTTTTTACCTTACTGTTGGACTAGTTTTGATACTCCCACCAGCTGCTATGACTAAAGTGTGTGCTGATAAGTACAGCATTACCTTAAGGATAGAGGAAGAAGAATTTAAATACAGAAGTAGTCTCTATTTAACCTGTCCAAAGTATTTAGGTACAATGCAAGTTCATGTTGGTGACATTGCACCAGAACTCTCACCTGGCACAATCTGTTTTTCCCTTGTGAAAACAGAGATGCATATGAAAACAAACCTGAAAAGTGAGCTGAATCTTCTAAGAAGGGTTTAGTAGGTACAAATATTTTCTAGTGTCATGCAAAACTCTCTGAAGTAACATAACCTGAAATAGTACCGGATGCCAACTGATGAGTATTCCTAGAGCAGGCACTCCAGAGAACCCCTTGCATGTGGACATTCCAGCTGAATTATGGCACACTCCAAGTTAAGACTGCCAGTGTAACTCATAATTATTTTAAGCAGTTTAGTGCCTTTGAGCAGGTAAGCAAAAGTACTGAGGTAACTTCAGATGAAGCTACCCCTGTGAGAATTGACTGAACTTGGGGGGGAAGCCTGCAGTCAACTTTTTGGTCAGTCTGTTTTGCTAAGACAAGTAATTGCTTCTTATAATATATACTTGTGGCAGGTAAAAAGGTTTCCTGCTGCTTTAAATAGCTACAAGCTTTTTATGTTCAAACCTTTCTGAAATAGCCTATATGGCTGTGTATTAACAGAATTTCTGAAGCATGCTCCATTGCACTCAAAGCTAATTACCCTGGCTACCAATTGAAACAGCGTGCATTGAGTAGACTAGCTGTCAGCAAGCTTTTTCTGTGAGCTTATGTCTCAGCTTGTGATTACCAGTCTCTCCATTATAAACCAGTTTTTCAGTCTTGCTCAAAGCTGCAATGCTTTTGCTGTTTTCAAGTTTAATTTGGCAATGGAAATTCTACTCCTCAAGCTGTACAAGAGGAAAGAAGGGTTTTACCTGTGGCTTTTTCACATCTACTTAAAATAGCAGATAGCATAATTACTTCAATTAGGAATATTTAACTCACCTACGTCCAGGCAAACACTGAGATGGAGTCACAGAAACCATGCTGATCATTCTCGTAGGAAGGCAGCGATGGTCCTTCCAATCTAGCCTTAAGGAAAAAAACAAATGGGTTTTCACTGCTGCTTTTTCCTCTTTTCTGTTGTCAAGGTTAGAGCCCTTTAGTTGCCTGTAAATTATTAAATGCTGCAGTTCTTATGTAATATTGATTATTATTTGCAAAAAGGGCAGGTATATAATATACTTAACTCTCTTTAAAGCTCTGTTATAGTCAACATGGAGACTTTCAAAAGTCTCCATGAAAAATGAGAAGCAATTAAATACTAAGAGACTTCAACGCTGCATATCATACTGTAATTTCTATTAAAAAATCCTTTTTAAGTGGTTTAGTTTATGTATTGCTTTTTGGATCTCTTTCAGTAGTGCAAGATGAAAACTGCTAACACATCTCCATGTAATGAGATTTTTAAACTTAACAGTAAAGTTATGTGTATAAATTGATTATTTTTTTTTAGTGTAGGCTTTACTACAGATCTTTAGATCATTATATTCTGAAAATCGGCTCATAGCTAGAATTTCATGTTGGTGATAAGAGCTGCTGCCAGATCAAATATTTCCACAGGAAATAATCACAAAGCTTTTCAGTAACCAATCTTTAGCCATTGGCTAGCACCTTCTGTACACCAGTAGTGTATACACATGTGTGTTTGGACATGAAGTAACAGGAGCTTTTAGCTGAAGACAACAGACAACGTTAGAGCTAATAAAGTTTGAGACATATTATTTCTCTTTCTGACGTGTTGAGTTTAATGATCTCAAAAAAAAAAAAGATGTGCAATAAACATCCAGTAGGCTTTCCTCTGAAAGATATCTACTGTTATCAAAATGCTTGATGCTTTTAAATGCCTAGGAGTCCTGTGAAAAAAATATCCATTTTCTACTCAAGAAAGGGATAGGATAAACAACAGAGGCAAATAAAATAAAACCACACCTGTCTTGATAACCAGACCCTTACAGAAGTTGCTTCTTTAGAGACAGAACAGTGGATAAGAGCAAAAGATTCTTGATCATTTTCTACTTGTCTTACCTATGCAAGTCAGGAGAAACTGTCCACCTAAAACATGCTCTGTAATCTAATTTAACCTTAAATTAGATCTACATTTTGTAGACATGAAGTATGTTCGATTCACTTAAGCTTATTTAAGCTGCATGGACACTTTAGCTATGCAAAAATTAGCATTTCCTTGATCCTATTCCTGTAATATTTAAGAAGCTTTAACTTTTGAACAGAGTGACTGACCCACCCATGATTCATGAGGATGGATTTTGTATAGGTGTTCAAGAGGGAGGGATACAGTATGGAAGGTCTAAAACAGCCAGAAGACGTGTGAAAACCGAGGGTGGCTGCCATTACATGTTTTTCAGGGTGAAAATTTTATAATGTCAAAGGCTTGAGGTAAAGTCTTTACCATTAATACATTAGACAAACCTACCTTGTAACAGAGATTCCACCTTGTAACAGATTACTTCTTCAGCAACAGATTTGCCATGAATGAGTATCCTCACTTAATAGTCTTTCACACTGCATTAATGATTTCTCTCTTAAAGCACCAAGAAAAACCTTTTGTATCTCTCGTAGGATTGGGTTGATGACCAGGGTCCACTAAGGTAAATAAAGCCTCATGAACCTCAAGAAAGCAAGTGGCATTAAAGAAAGAAAAGTGATATGAAAACCAAGTATGCCACTGGTATGCCAAGAGGACAGATTTCCTGTTGATTACAGAATTGCTGGTTTATTATTTACCTAGCTTACATCAGTCTGTAGAAGAAAACTTCTAAAAGATATCTCATCCCTGAAAGTGAAACAGTTTGGGACAGGGGAAAGGAATGGTGAAGTGTCATTGTGTAAGATTTCCTGTATAGAGACAGAGATAGGGATTCATAGCATTCCTGTTTTCTTCTACACTGTAGCACTTGATATTATTTGATCAATATTGAATAGTTACAACCTAAAAAAGGCATGAGTTTTCTTCCCTATCCACTACTGCTTAATAAGAATAAAAGGGAACACTGTTAAGGACTCCTGAGCATTCCTATTCTTCCATTGTGTCATATACAGTTGAGTGACTCTAGTCCAGAAAGTGCACTCTTCTTTCAAGAGAAACAAGGAGCAAGGCTACACCTAGAAGTTCTCACAGGTGATCAAAAATATTCTGTCATCTGGTACCTTCTTTATCTTGGGGTAGTATTTAAGGTATGAGTCTTACTAAAATGAGAACCTGATGACTTTAAACTTGGTTTTGAGGAATTGCCCCAAGCTGTATCCTTCAGGAAGGAACAAATGGCTTCAAGCAAGAGACTGTCTCATGAATCAAGGGCTGAGCAAGAGAAAGAATGTTCAAGTCTTTCATCTCTTGCTACATTTTTTAGACTATCCTTGGCAAGCATATTCTTCCTTGATAAAGTTTGCCCATGCAGCTTAAGCAGCCTTCTCAGTTCACTTGGCTATTATATCTATCATCTTTAATATCTTAATATCTTAACATCTTTAAATCTGCTTCTTTTCAATCAACAGCATTTGGTGAGTGTCTGTCAGCCCAGCAGAGGGCAATGGTGATACATTCCTGACCACCACACCACTGTAGTGAAATTTAGACATGTAATGCAACTTATTGAAAGTTAAGATTGTACACCAGCAGTGTCACAAGTGGAAAATGCCACAAGAGATGTTTTAATTGTCAAGACAACAAGTGAGAGATATGGCTGTTAAAACAAAAATAAAATACTCAAAATATCTAGCAAAAGTATAAAAAATTGAAGCAAGAGGGAAGTCAAACAATTACTGGAGAAAGTTAAGTAGCAGGTATTATGGTCAGTGAGAATGTTCTGGTTTAAACTCTTTATTTAAAGGATTTTCCCTTTAATAACAGAAATATACCTTTTAGTGAGCACTTAAGGCATTTTGGCTATAAGCTTTACTGAATTCTGACAGATCTTTCATTTTCAGAACAAAAAAAATCATCTAATCGTGTTCATCTAAAAACCTAAAGATTCATTACTGTTGCTAACCTGCAAGAGGAATATCTAATAGCCTAAAACTTTAGTTCATCTAGGATAATAAGAGAAAATGACCAGACACATTACTTGAAAGGTAAATCATGCCATGTTGGAATCTTCACTTTCAGTCACAGCTGCTTCTTGTTCCCCAGAAGTTCTCCCTCCCTTAGCTGCACTGGACTTCTTTTTCTTCTTCTCCTTTTGCTCCATGTTACTTGCTGCAAGCTCTTCACTCTTCTGGGTTATGTACTTTAGCTGAGAACAATAAACTAATCAGTCATCTACTGAGGAACTTCATTTATTAATGAGAAATTAGAGAGAAAGGTTTAAGAGAAATTAACAAGGCAAATTCTTATTACAAAAGATGACAGATACTCCAGAGAAGGCTGACAAACATCAATTAGTTTTAACTCTTGCACAAAGCCCTCAGTCTAAGCTGGATATCCACAGATACTGAAATGCCCTGGCAAGACTAGGATTTATAAATGAATGTTCCATCCATCTCTAGAATCAAGACAACAACATTAGCAGTTACTCAGAGTTGTAGTTTGCAAGGTGGATTCAAGCTGTTCCTGACCTTAGGCTCAAAGGAACACAATATCAGGAAAAAACAAAGTCATTTACTTCCAAGATTGACAATGCTGTAAAGTGTCTCTTTATTGCACTTTTGTACCTGGAACCTCAGCAGCCCTGTTGCAACGAGAACGTTGCTGCTTGAGTCACAATCAGTCTGTGTTCCCACAGTAAGGCATAATGTCATGAAGCAAAATAAGATGAAATTTAAAATATCACTGGGTTGTGCCCATCCATCATCAATGAGCCAGTGAAATTGCTTAAGCAACAGTTGCTTCATCATCTGTAGCCTTTATTCAAATACTCTTAGGAATTAACCAATTGGCTTAAGAATGTTGTGAGACAGAAAATACAGTGAATCTCACCAAAGAATTGCTCCTTCTAGCCAATAGCTTCACATCTTCTGTAGTGACTGTGCTTCGTTTTGCATGCCTGCATAAAATTAAAGATACTCCTCAATGTGTTTGCCAACACTGGTTGTAAGAGGCCATAGAGCATCTAACTCAGAACTCTGTAACTAAAAGGGCTTAATAGGGACCCAATAAACCAAACATGCCTGTCTTTTCCAACTATAATACACGAAAACCTATTTTACAAGTTTGTACAGGTACGTCTAAGTTCCCACACTTCCTGAGTAAAAACAGTAGAATTTAGCAACCAGAACTTCAAGTACCACTTGAATTTCCATTCCCTCTTACTTGCCAGTAGGTCACTGTGTTAAATTTTGACTCCTTAAAACATTTCCTTACCTCCTTGGAGCAACCCAATGAAACACAGGCATGCTAGTAAGCATCTGTCACTCCCAAACCATCCAGTATTGCTATGTATCAATACATTTGACAATTACATACAGTCATTAATATAAACAATCACTTGTACCACAAAAATGAATTTGCAAGATCAGGAGGAACCTCCAAGGGAATATCTATTCCCTGACTTCACAGTCACTGTTTAATCAGGCAATAGAACCCTTTAAAACTTGAATTGCAAGACATATTTTAAAGATTATCTAGTTATTGGAGCTGACTAATAAAAAAGGAGCTTTTGTAACAATCAAGTGTTCCAATACCTACCTTGCAAACATTTCAAGGTCTTTTGCAAAGTTCTCTGGAGAAAACACAAAGACAGCACATATTTTAAAATGCTAACTCTGAGTAGGAAGAGATTCATAACACAGTTCTAACTGTTACAAAGGTGTAACTGCAAATTATCCAAGTTAGTTATGAGAAGTGACCACAGCTTGTTATTACGTGCCACTCTGTTGCACAGGCAGGTGGCCCACACGGTATTCCCACATACATCCAAAAGCTCTTTCCAAAGTCTGAAAAATAGGATCACTATTTCTTGTACTTTTAAAAATGCAATGCAAGAAACAATGCATGAGTGATACCTAGCTCCACTGCTACTTTTTAAAAAAGCATGGTTTCTGCAGCAATTGCTCTCAAACAAATAGGTAATACGCAAACTTCTGTACCACACTGCCTGAAGGTGATCTCTGAAATAGCCGCGATGGTTTGTTTGCTGAATTGCATCTCTTTGTCCTCTGCAACATCCTGAACCAGGCAGCCAACCGTGTAGTGAACCGCAGCCTTCAGCCTCTGGAAGGAGCCAAGGCGGGAGAGGTCAGTTCTCCGCAGACGGACGTTTCCAGGCCCCAGCACATCCCGCACCACACACCCATCACTCAGTGCCCCATTCCCGCCCCGGATCCATCTTGTCCCGGCCTCGGCGTGTTGGGAGCGGGGCCGAGG